TTGGATAGAGATAAGATGGAGAGTATTTTAGGTGAATCTGGGGGGTTCAGTAGTCGTGAGATTGATCAGATCCGACAGATTCCCATTCTGGAGGGAGGTTCGAACGACATGAGGTGGAGACTTACATCTTCAGGTGCATTCTCTACGTCCTCGGCCTGGGGAGATGTGCAGCTGGGTAACCGGCCTAACCTCCTCTTTGGGGCCATATGGACCGACCTTCTCACACCGACCATTTCTGTCTTTTTGTGGCGCCTCCTATTACGACGCATACCAGTTGACACTGTGATGCAGACGAGGGGGTTCTCTTTCCCCTCTCGTTGTCATTGTTGTGCTGAGACCGACACTTTCGAGATTGAGACTTTTACCCATCTTTTCCTTGAGAGTGAGACTGTGAGGAGAGTGATAGAGTACTATTCCAGATATACTCATATACCCCTACCCACTACAGACAGCTTCTTTGGGCTCCTGAGTTCTTTCTCACATCGCATACAAAGTAGACACGAGGACTTCCTTATTGCTTGTCTGATCCTGTGGTCTACCTGGACAGAAAAGAATAACGCGAAGCATAGGGATATTACATTTGCTTGCTCTCACATTATTTTGCAGGTTGACAGACACCTCTCCCTTCTCACCGCACTGGGCAGACTCACGACGAGAGACTGGACAGGCTGTACGCCGCCTCATCACTTGAGGCCATCTTCCCTTCCGCCTGTCCAGCATCCGTGCCCCAGGATTGTTGTTTGGCTGAAACCCTAGCCCCCTTGGGTTAAGCTAAACAATGATGGCGCTTTCGACAGACACACCGGAGTTGCTGGAAGAGGGGGCCTGATTAGGGACCATGGAGGGGCACTCATCACAGCCTTCTATGGCCCACTTCAGGCTTCCTCGAGCTATGACGCAGAGATTCAGGCACTCCAGATTGGCCTACAGATTGCCGCCTCGATCTCCTCCCATATATGGATAGAGATGGATGTTGCAGCTGTCATCACACTTTTGACATCTGGCCACCAGGGCTCATAGCAAATTCAACATCCACTTATGCGCATCAGAGACATTCTCCGCTCGATCTACTACCAGGTCTCGCACATATTCCGAGAGGGGAACCGCCCCGCTGACTTCCTTGCTAGCACCAGGGCATCTATTCCCGGAGACGCATCCTCTACCCTGAGGACATCCCTTTACGACTTCAGACCCTTATTCGGATGGATCAGCTGGAGTATCCATCCTTTAGATTCGGACGGCCGACCCTACCTGACCATGCCTAGATTTGATGTTTTGGACTATACATCTGGCCCCCCATGGCCAGACAGCCTCTTCATGAGTTCTTGATTTTCGATTCATTTTGGACAGTCTTTGTTTCTTGCACTTTTTCTGTTTTGTCGATAGTTTTGTCGATTTCCTATGTATTTGTGACATTGATGTAGATCATTGACTTATTAGCCCGCTTTGGGGCATTTTATTCACAGGTTGGGGGTACAGCCAAACCCCCCACCCCACCTCGGGGTGCTTTTCTGTAAAAAAAAAAGGGTTAACCTAAATAACCTATAATAAATTTGGAAGAAAAATGAATAATTTTGAAGTACCTCATGTTTTACTGCATCGACTCATGTGAATATAATAAATTAAAGGCCTGATCTGGCTATCACAAAGATTGTCGTCAGCGGATGAAAATAGAAGTTTACTCATTAACGGCGGAGCTAGAATTTTTAATGAGCTAGGGCAAAAATTGTTGAAATTATTTTAACTATATTGCACAAAGTACTTATATTAATAATTA